CCAGGTTCTGGAAAGCTCTATGTGAAACCCTGGGGATTAAGTTATCGTTCTCTTCTGCTTATCACCCACAGACCAATGGCCAGACAGAGCGTCACAAACCAGACCCTAAGAGCAGTACCTCAGGTGCTATACCACCTTCCTCCAAGATGACTGGGTTACTCTCCTGCCGCTTGCGGAATTCGCATATAATAATGCGAGTCACTCTGCTTACACTAGACAGTCCCCGTTTTTCGCAAACTATGGGTTCCACCCTGTAATTCCTGCCAGATCTAATCCCAGAGGTCGCAGTCCCAGCCACGCAGGATATGTTGACCTTTCTGTCAACCAATAGCAAGGTATTGCAGGAAGCAATGGCAAATGGCCCAGGATGACAAACAAGAGGGCGTTTGATAGGAAGAGAAGAGGGGAATTGAGTTTGCGGCCAGAGGACCAGGTTTGGTTGTCCACCGCAAATTTAAAAATGTCCTGCCCTTCAAAAGAAATTGGCTCCAAAGTTTCTTGGGGCCTTTCCGGGTCAAACGTAAGGTCAACGAGGTGGCATACGAGCTGGCACTGCCCGAATCTATGAAGGTTTCATCCGGTCCTTCCATGTGTCCCTGTTGAAACCGGCAACTCCAGACCCCTCCCGGATCGAAGTCTAAGCCACCGGAGGCAGTAGATGTGGATGGGGAGGAGAATTTGAAGTTGAAGCTATCTTAGATTGCAGGAAGAGGGGAGGGCCAAACTCAGTTTCTGGTTAAATGGAAAGGATATGGGGCGGGAGGAGAATTCATGGGAGCCGGCCCAAAATGTGCACGCCCCAAGGCTTGTGCGGGAATTTTTTTCGGAACCAGCCGTTGAGTAGGGGTCGGTTATGGGGCATCCGGAGGTTGCCCGTAGGGGGGGCAATGTCAGGGATCCCGGGTCCTCGGCGGCGCGCGCATGCGCAACCGCCGATCCGTCCCAGCCCAGCGAGCGCGAAACAGAATCCTCGGCGATCGAGGCGCGGCCGCGCATGCGCAGTAGCGATCGCGGCCGCACCAATGGGAGAGCAGGGCGCCCTATTTAAAGCTGCCTGTGCATCTCCAAGTTGCCGCAAGGTCTTGTTCCAGTCCTGTAAGTACGCTTCCTAGTTGCCAAACTCTGCCTGTTCTGAGCTATGCTTACCTTCTCCTGCTCTGACCCCGGCTCGTCCCTGACCATCCCTTCTGCCTGACCCTCGGTACCTCGTTGCCCGCTACCTGTTGAACCTGGCTTGTGACCCCGACTATTCTCCGCTTACTCCCTCTGTACCACGCTGCCCGCACAATTCCGACCCGGCTAGTCTGACCTCGTCCACTCCTGACAGTTGCCCATCCATCCCGCTCGGATCGGGATCTGTCATCCCATCCATCCCGCTCGATCGGGATCTGTCATCCCCTTCACAGCAGGCTCAACCCGGGCACATACCCCCAGCGGGACCCCTCTGCCACCGCCGGGGGTGCCCAGGAACGCGACCTGGTTTCAGTCTTGCACCAAGTCCATCCCCACCATCAGGGGCCCTGGTGAAAAGGCAGACTGGGACTTAGACTCCGCGCCCTGGGAAACCCCGTGCCGTGGACCACTAGAGATCCCGTTGGGTGGAGCCTGACAATAGGTAAAGACCATGATTTCATTATATTTGGGGTGCAAACCCCATAGAGGAATTGAACATACACAGAGGTCATTGTGTCCCCCAGTAAATAATGGGAGAAACAAGTATTTTTATGAAGAAAATAGGTGACTTTAACTCCCATACAATGAGAGGTAGTCCAAAAATCACATTGCTGCAGGGGGGCAGTATACAAAGTAAGTGTGCCCCAGTGCACAAATATGCTGGATATAATTGCACATTGTGGCAAAAGGTCCTGGGGGCCAAACATGTATATGCAGTTTTGTTTCACTTTAATGTACTTTGTTGCAAAGGAAGGACTTTTCAGCTTTTTCAGTAGACAACATCTAAGTAAAGCTGAACTTTAAGCACAGATAAATAAGAGAAATGAACAGTTAAACTATTTTATTCACAAAATATTTTTAATTCTGTTCTCCCAATCCAGTATTCCATGCACCTTTTTTTTTACAGCTTAGCCAAGCTGGTAGTTTTACTTTCATTACAAACTGCAACTGCTAAGCAGCACTACTGATCCATCCACAGCCATTAGGGAGGACTGGGGACTTTTGCCTGGGGGACAAACACAAACTAACTGGCCCTTTTAACAGCAGGAACACTTTTGTCACCACAGTGTTAGTTAGTTAGGCATAGTCAAATCTGATTGTAGTTTTTGTGACACAACCTTATACATACACAATCAATTTATGGTAAAATATTATTTAAAGAACACATTGTAAAGAATGAGATACTTTACAAACCGCTTTGTGAAATTGTCACAAGCATAAACGAGTAAAATTCTAAATAAAATACCACATCATTCAGCTTTCTATAGCACCTGAACACAACATATCCTTAACACTGTCAGTTAGGCAACAGAGAAAGCTCATGCAATGGCAGAAGAAAAAAAATGCCGCCAAAAAGTATTTTCTTTAAGGTTGGTACCTATAGAGAACTTATAGAGACCAGAGAAGTCAGTGTTTTTTTTTTCCATGAATGTACTAAAGTTTCCCAACAGATATTACATAATGTAGCTGAAGTTCATGTTGGTGTTTTCTTCTTTCCTGTGATCTTTACATTGAGTCATGGTTGAGATGTTTCCCATTGTAACTCTATGGGCTGACATGAGAAGCTCCCAGTCTAGCACTGCTTTTGTGGCTTTATTCACAGTGATGGCCGATATATTTTGTGCCTAAACTCTAATACTAATGTTTTTGTAATTATCCTAGCGCCTATTCTGGCAAAAGTCTTTGGGCACAGAAATATGTCTGAGATGACCTTGACTTTATTTCTCTAAGTAGGCACATTTTTGCTTGTAAAACACAATAACCTGTGCATGCATGTATGACAAATTTCCTGAACACAGACGTTTTGCATGCTGGAAATATGCTATATGTGCTTATGAGGGCAAAAATAAATGCAGAAGAATCTGCTTTTACATGAGTAGAACAGCATACAGCCACTCACTTCTATTGCTGTCCCTATGCCGTCTCTGAGATCAATTATTGATGGGTGCATAATGCCTTCATTCAATTTGCCTGCTAGGTCTATAGATTGGGAATTTTACACTTGGCATATTGTATACCTGAAAACATATGTGTGTGCACGAGGCTTAATTGCTGCCCACAGTCTAAAAGTATCTGTTAAGAGAATTACATGAAGCTGATATATAGATGATTTTAAGAACTGAGTGTGCCCATGCCTCACCTGCTAAGCACTTTGAGTGTGAAGGGAGAAAAGCATTATAGAAATACAAATTAAATGATATTATTACTAGCTACTAAACAAAAATTGTACTACTTTAAAGGCTACTTAATTGCTATATATGTGTATTTGTTCTCTTAATTATCATTTGCCTTTATAATTTTAAAGACTCTGGAGTACACATTTTAATCTATTTGTGTTTTTGGTAGGGAAACACAATACAACTGCTGCAGAGGACCTCCGCTGTGAGGTTTATAATGTTTCTTTTGTTAATTGTTCATGGACTGTTGGTCGAGAAGCTCCAAAAGATACCCAATACACCTTGGCTTTCAGGGAAACTCCACATGAAAGCCAAATACCAAATCCAAAGTAAGTTTGTTTTTTTTTTTGGTGTAGTTTAAACAGGACAAGTTGTTTGTACCTTTACATTTACAATATACAGTATACACTTTCAGCAAAAAGCAAGGGGTTCACTTAACATTCCCCCACCCCAGAAGCATGTACTCATTTTTTCTGTATTCCATCATTGATACCTTTGTGTATGGGTGAATGGGTACCTCACTCCTCTTTCTTCCTTGTGACTATATAGAGTTTGGAAATAGCAGTCATAAGATTGTATAATCTTCACATCAAAACTTTCACAGGGCTTTCTACTTATAGATGGCAACCAAAAAAGGAAGGTGATTTTGAGCAATTGTTGACTGAAGAATGTACTGTAAATGCACCTGTTGCTTTGCCCTCTATGCAAAGCACACGTTTACGTTAAGTGGAAAACTAAATATGTGCAATTTGTTTAATTACGAAATGAAATTCGGGATACATTTTTAGTATTCGGATGTATCCAAATCTCCAAATCATAGCAGTAAGGAATTTCAATGAATCCGAAATAAATTATAATGAAAACAACAAATTCATTTGTATTCATCCGTTTCGTAAGTTCATACTCTGTATTGTTATGATTGGCCAAAGTCGCAAAACATCATAGTTGCAAGCAAATCACATGAAAGTCACAATAAGTCACAAGCAAGTCAAAATAAATATAAGGAAGGAATCCCAATCTTCCGAAATAACTTCAGAAAACAAATCATTCTAACATAACGAATATGGCATAATGTTAAATTATTCCGAAACTAAACAAATTTTTTCAATGTGCACATCTCTAGTGGTAACATAATCTCTAGTAGTAACATATTTTTTGAAGTACCGTATTTTTCGCTCCATAAGACGCACCTGACCATAAGACACACCTAGGTTTTAGAGGCAGAAAACAGGAAAAAAAATTCTGAACTAATGGACTGCAGACATAGTACAGGAGATGACCAGAGACTGTGGACAGCAGAGGGATGACCAGAGACTGCGGACAGTACAGGGATGACCAGAGACTGCGGACAGCACAGGGATGACCAGAGACTGCGGACAGTACAGGAATGACCAGAGACTGCGGACAGCACAGGGATGACCAGAGACTGCGGACAGCACAGGGATGACCAGAGACTGCGGACAGCACAGGGATGACCAGAGACTGCGGACAGCACAGGGATGACCAGAGACTGCAGAGACTGCGGACAGCACAGGGATGACCAGAGACTGCGGTGGACAGTACAGGAGATGACTGCTGACCTTTGAGGAGGTGGGGAGCGGGTACCTGAATTTGACAGGTACCCGCTCTTACTTCCGCGCGGAGTTGTTCTTTGATCTTACCTGTTCCTCTATCCAGCCGCGCGCTGTCTTCCCGGCTTCTGTAGTGTCGGCGCTCGGCATGACAGCCGGGTGCCCAGTGCGCATGAGCGAGAAGCACTTGCTCTTTGTGATTGGTCCGGCGGCTTCTGGGATCTGTCATGTGTCCCAGGTACCGCCTTACCATTCACAAAAATGCGCACTTGGCACCCGGCTGTCAAGCCCAGCGCCACTACAGAAGCCGGGAAGACAGCGCGCCGCTGGATAGAGGAACAGGTAAGGTCAAAGAACAGCTCCACGGAAGTAAGAGCGGGTACCTGTCAAATTCAGGTACCCGCTCCCCACCTCCCCAAAGGTCAGCAGTCATCTCCATAAGGTCCCGCTGCAGAGCTGAGCGGCCGGCCCGGTATTCTGAAACGGCGGCGGTGGAAATACCGGACCGGCCACTCCATATTCGCTCCATAAGACGCACTGACATTTTCCCCCCTTTTTTTTGGGGGAAAAAAGTGCGTCTTATGGAGCGAAAAATACGGCATATATCTTTTGCTTAGATTAAGATGTAAACTGGTATTACTGTTGTTTTCTTAGATCTGTATTTAAGTGCACCACTTTGATCTAGCCCATGTAACTGCCCATGTAACTTCTTCAGTGAAGCAAAGTGGAATTATTCCAAGGTTATAAAAAGTCTTTGTAGTTGAAGAGACTAATCAGTATAGAATTTTCTGATAGGTGGAAGGCAGATCTTCTAAGCACCCATATTCTGTGATAATGGGCTCAAGCCGCCCAGTCAGATTTAACAAATTATACAAAGAAATTCAGTTGGGAGTAAATGAAAAATGAAGGCTGGAACCCTTCATTTGAAGAGAAAGTAAGCCAAATAAATATATAAGCAAAAAAATAAAAATGCATGTAAATGCTGAATATGCTTTTTTAAAATATTTATATATATTTTTGGAAATAGGCAGAACCGTGTGTATGTACCATGCAAAGACTACAGAACAGATTATTTTGGAAGACAAGTGGGATGCGTTTTGAAAGCTCAAACAATTAGCTTCAATGTGAGCATTTATGTACAACTTGTGGGATCAAGTAGTGAAACTTCAATCCAATTCTTCGATGAAAAAATTAAACTGGATAATTTTGGTAACTTGGTGTTTTGTTTTTTTCATTTCATTTTAAAAAGTTCAACAAAAATGATGTTGGATATAAAATAATGAAGTGTCAGATTTCCTCTCCTATAACATGTAACAGAAATTATATTATGTCACAATTATTGTATAGTAAGTAAATGTATCAATTTGTATACGATGTCCAAAATGCCTGAATATTTTATGATGTCTTTTTTAAAGTGATTGGAAAGGTACAAACATTAAAAAAAATAACAAACATGACATACTTACAGTTGTGCTCAAAAGTTTACATACCCTAGCAGAAATTGTGAAATTTTGGCATTGATATTGAAAATATGACTGATCATGCCAAAAAATGTTCTTTTATTGAAGGATGATGATCATATGAAGCCATTTATTATCAAATCATAATGATAACAGACATCACCCAAATGGCCATGATCAAAAGTTTACATACATTGGAATGTTCGGCCTTGGTACAGACACACAAGGTGACACACACGGGTTAAAATGCCAATTAGAGGTTAATGTCCCACATCTGTGGCTTTTTAAATTGCAATTAGTGTCAGTGTATAAATAGTCAATGAGTTTGTTATCTCTTACGTGGAAGCACTGACTAGGCTAGATTCTGACCAGCTGCGATTTCTCCTGCGCTCTAGGGCCCAGACCGGTGGCAAATAGATGGAACCAACACCAGATCAAGCGACCACCAGTATATTTCAAGGTTGTTCAGCTCTAAAACAGGGCTGGGGAAGCCTGATCGATACTGCAAAGTGAAACAAAAAACAAGAAGCGCACCAACCTTGCGCATTACTTCAGTAACAGAATTTATTAATAAGAGATAGGTACTCACAAACAGCAAATAAAATCAGGCATGTAGTCCTCAAAGGGACTTCAAAGGGACTTCCTCAGCTCGGAGGAAGAAGGCATAGCCTTCGAAACGCATCAGCTATACTGAGTGTCTACCCCCATGATGGGATTCGCACTGGCTTCTTATCTTTGAAGTCCCTTTGAGGACTACATGCCTGATTTTATTCGCTGTTTGTGAGTACCTATCTTTTATTAATAAATTCTGTTACTGAGGTAATGCGCAAGGTTGGTGCGCTTCTTGTTTTTTGTTTCACTAGGCTAGATTCTGAGCCATGGGGATCAGAAAAAAAAAGTCAAAAGTCCTGCGTAACAAGGTAATGAAACTTTATAAAGATGGAAAAGGACATAAAAAGATGTCCAAAGCCTTGAATATGCCAATCAGTACTGTTAAATCACCTATTAAGAAGCGGAAAGTAGAGGGATCTCTTGATACCAAGCCACGGTAAGGTAGACCAAGAAAGATTGCAGCCACAACTGCCATAAGAATTGTTCAGGATAAAAGGAAACCCATAGGTAACCACAAGAAAAATACAGGCTGCTCTGGAAAAAGACAGTGTGGTTGTTTTGAAGGAGCACAATATGATGACATTTGAACAAAAATGAGCTGCATGGTCAAGGTGCCAGAAAGAAGCCTTTACTGCATCAATGACACAAAAAGGCCTGGTTAGGCATGTCAAGGTGTTGTCAAGCATATTGCACTTCGACCAAACAGTTCATTTTTGTTCAAGTATCACCGTATTGTACTCCTTAAAAACAACCACACCATATTTTTCCAGAGCAGCTTGTATTTCTTTTGGAGTTGCCTGTGGGTTTTTCTTTTAATTCCAGACAATTCTTCTGTCAGTTATGGCTGCAATCTTTCTTGGTCTACCTGACCTTTGCTTGGTATCAAGAGATCCCCAAACTTTCCACTTCTTAATAGGTAATTTAACAGTACTGATTGGCATATTCAAGGCTTTGGACATCTTTATATGTCCTTTTCCATCTTTATAAAGTTCCATTACCTTGTTACGCAGGACTTTTGACAGTTCTTTTCTGATCCCCATGGCTCAGAATCTAGCCTAGTCAGTGCTTCCACATAAGAGCTAATGGCTCCCACTGCTGTGTCTGAGCCAATGAAGAGGGAGAGACCCAGGAGAGCCTCTGCTCTTGTACACATTACTGGATGGAGATCGGGCTCAGGAAAGTATTAGGGGGAGCTGAGAAGGGACCTGCACACCGAAGGTTTTTTACCTTCATGCATAGAATACATGAAGGTACAAAAACCTTCAACCTTTAGAACTGGACGCATTTTTTTTACTTTTTATTTCTAAAAACAATTTTTTTCTAATATTTAAAAAAAATATTTGTGTTTAAAGGCAGTAAAAGAGTTTAAATGGCAATTTCACTCTAATAAGGAAATTTGAATACCAGTTTATTATGGATCAAAGAGCTGTGTAATGCCATTGCCAGCCATTGGTTTGGGGACATATAGCTGTATTTATTTATTTTGTTGTGTCCCTAATGGGGTGTGCACACATAGGAAATAAGGGAATATCTCTATAGTGGGGAAAGTAAACACACACACAAAAAACACAGAGATTCTAACCATTCCCCACTGTAGTCAAAACTAAAAAAAAAATTTGACTATAGTTTGGCTTTGGCAGAAATTTGTCATTCAATTTAATTTTAAAGGGTACATGAATGGATTAATGGACTAAGAATAATTCAGTTCTGTCATTGACCAGAAGTTAATTGTGAACTCTCTAACCTTAATCAATCCTGTTGTGATACAACATATACTTTTTGATTGATTAAAGCCTAACTCCAGGAAAAGTGAATGTTCTCCCTTGCAGAGTTAATTGCTCATTTAGTCTAGGGGAGGAAAAGCAGTTTTACTTACCTGATCCACCACTTCACAAGCAAACAGCGTTCCCCTACTCTCTGGCAATTAACTTTTCTCACATATATTGAAGGGTTGTAGTCCTTATACTGGTCTTGATGATGTTTGAGGCACCTTGAACGCTGAAGAAGGTGCAAGGACCACAGCAGTGCAGAGGACACTGCAGAAGTGTAGGATCTGATAAGTAAAACTGTTTTACCCAGTCCCCCTAGACATAAAGCAGTTAATCCTTGAATTGTGGGTGCAACCCCACTGCAAGGTAATACTTTTACTTTTCCCAAGGTTCAGCTTTAAAGGAAATGTATAGTCTTTTACATTTTTTCAGTTGTGCATGAATAGAAGACCTTAATTTATATAGTCTTATGTGTTTAAAGTAGAACTAAAGGGAAAACTTTGTTAAAACATGTTGAATATGTTATGTTCCATTGGGATATTTCACTTTGCCTAATTTCCCATAACCAAAAACAGGAAGTGAGAGAAAAATCCTCTAAAGTGAAGAAATCCCTTATTGTTACCAGGCTCACCAGAACTTGTGTACCCATTGGAAGATATCCCCACTATTCCTGTTCTGGGGACAGCCCAAAATTGCTACCTTCTTTTACATTCACTTTTGGTGGTAATAATACACATGACAAATAGACAAAGGGAATTTTTCTATCCAGCGCACAATCAGCAATAACATCTAACAGATGTTCTATTCCCTCTCCACTTTATTCCAAAAGAAAAACAATTGCCTTTAGTTATATTTTAATTTTTAATACCTTGTGTTTAATATTTAATACCTTGTTTTTGTATATGACTTGTAATTATCTATTGAGTAATCTACACATCTCTATATTATACACAATACTTGAAATATAACAGAGTAAGCATATAAAACTGTGTGAGTTAAGAAATTATTTTTAACTAAACAATATCAGCGGATATCAGCAACCTTTTCCACATTACAGGGTATATTTCTAAAAAATGTGCTGTTCATAACATGAAACTGCATGTACATTTGTTCGTTACGAACTGGGGAAAAATAAATTGATAGTATTCCAATTTCTTTCCAGGTCAAATGGCATCCATTCATTAAAAATGGTAATTCTGGAAAATACTGCATTATGGCCACTATGGCACCGATGACCATAGTAAATCATAATAAATAAATGGCCATAATGTAGTATTTTTGTAAATCACTCTTGTGTATGAATAAATAAAAACAGTCAATCTGGAGACAGATTATATTCTGTGCAAATGTAGGTAAAATAAAATGTTATTAACATTTGATTTTACCTACATTTGCACAGAATATAAAAGTATAAATACACCCCTATAAGTCATGGTCACAAGATTTAGACAAATGATATGCTAGTGAACAGCAGAGGTTTGTAGAATTAGTTTGTTTTTCAACCTTTGCACTCATATTTTACTGCTAATGAAAAATAAACCAATTCCTTATTATATAATAATAAATTAGTTTAAAGAGGTTCTTCAGTCAACTAATGAAAAAAAATATACACAAACAGT